CTGGAATAGGACACAGTGTTCAAGATTAGGCCAAAAATGCTGAATAGAGGGAAATTGGTAATTCATGGGATTTGTATTTACCGGTAAGTTAAAACAGCCTGAAATAGCATTTGTAGTGGGGGTTTTTTAACCGCATCACATAGGTAGCTCATATTCAGATTGGGATTCAAGATCATGTAGTGTTGCTGAGCAAGGTATGCCTCCATCTTGTAACTGTGCATTTTTCTTCTTTTCCTAAGTGTAAACCTTTGTACTTATCGATTTTTCCCTGTCTTCCAGGATATTAGCTATTCCTGAATGCTTTCACAGCCGATATCTGATGGTTGTTGTGGGTTTTTGGGGCTGTTTGGCCATGTTCTTAAGGTTTTTCTTACTAACATTTCACCCGTTTCTGGCCGGCATCTTCAGAGGACAGGAGTCAGAACTCTGTCAACAGAGCACAGACAGAGGTCTGACTCCTGTCCTTGGAAGATGCTGGCCACAGAGACTGGTGAAATGTTAGAAAGAAAAACCTTAAAATATGGCCAAACAGCCCGGAAAGACCACAACAACTATGAGCTATTCCACCCAATTTTGTGTCATTTGCAGTTTGGTAAGCATTCCCTACGCAGTCTCATCCAATCATTAATAAAAATATTGAAGAACCCCAGACCCAAGACAGAAATTTGCGGTACTTTGTTTTTTTTACCTCTTCCCAGTTTGAGAAGGAGCCATTGATAAGCATTCTCTGGGTATGATTCTTTAGCCAACCATGTATTCATCTGATACAGTGGAACCTCTACTTACGAACTTAATCCATCCCAAAGATGTTAGTTGAAACGTTTGTAAGTAGAAGAAAAATTTCCCATAGGAATGCATTGAAAACTGATTAATCCGTTCCAGCTGTTTTTGGTTCTTATGTGGAGGCACCGTTCGTATGTTGAAGCATTAGTTCCCATAGGAACTAATGCAAAGCCCGTTAATCCGTCCTCTACTACTAGGGGGAGAATTTTTCTTCTTTTGACTTAATATGAATTTAGGTTTAAAAAAAGGGCAGGAAAGGAGGGAGGGGGGAGGGAACACTTTCTAAACAGAACACCTTTAAAAACAAGCACCTTTTAAAGAAAACTAAGTACCTTTTAGCTTAAAAAGGCAGGAGAACACATTTTAAACAGAACACCTTTAAAAAAGCCACAGAATCCAGCAATCATTTTTCCAGCACAGAACTCCTCATCACAAAAAGAAAGTCTAAACTGCATTTTACAGACTGCATGCATCAACAGCCAGCACAGCCCCTCACAGATATTTTCTGAATTTAAGAAAAAAAGACTGTGGAGTCTAAAAAAGAAGAGGGTAGAGACTTGAGTCTAAACTTCATTTTAAAGCCTGCTTGCACCAACAATCAGCAACCATTATTCCAGCACAGAACTCCTCATCACAAAAAGAGAGCATGGGGTGGGAGAGAGAGAGACTTGAGTCTAAACTGCATTTTAAAGCCTGCCTGCCTTGCTGCCTGCATCTACAACCAGCACAGCCCCTCACAGAATATTTTATGATTTTAAAACAGACTTTAGAGCCACATTTTAACCACACACATTTTAAAACTAAAATCTGCACTGCAAGACCCATCAGAGCACAAAAACATAACCCCCCACTTATCCCTTCCCCCCCAAGCTGCAAAAAAACCCTGTACAGTAAATACAGTGTACTCACCCAGAACAGGCAGTCTCTCTGTTTTGAAAAAGTCAAAAAGCCAAAAGATTTTAAAAAGCCAAAAAAAAAAGTCCGTATAGTACAGTACCAGGCAGTACCAGGCAGTATGAAGACTCTCTCCCTATCCACTCTCTAACCGCTTGGACAAGTGGGGTAGCAGACAAGCACCCTCTTCGCTGTCCAACGGTTAACTGCAAGTTCAAATTTGGTGCTTTCCCTGCGTTCCCTGCATTTTTTCTGTTCGTAAGTCGAAGCTCCGTTTGCAAGTAGAAGCAAAACTTTGAGAATGGAGCTGTTTGTAAGTTGAAATGTTCGTACTTTGTAAGTAGAGGTTCTACTGTAGTTGTTCTATCCAGCCAACACTAGTTATTTATCATTTTTATTTATTTATTTTATTTAACTTATATGCCACCCACACTACCCAAAGGTCTCTGGGCGGCTTACAATAATTTAAATACAGTAAAAAGATAAAACAATTAAAATACAATTACAAATACAGTACAGTCCTCTGAAAAATTGCCATCAGGACCCACAGTTGATATTATTTCAATTAAAAGCCTTCTGTAACAGGAAGGTTTTGACTTGGTGCTGAAATATAGTCAGCGTCGGCGCCAGACGAATCTCAGTCGGGAGGACATTCCATAGTCTGGGGGCAGCTGCCAAAAAGGCCCTTTGTCTACAAGCCATCCCTCTTGCCTCCTTGAGGGATGGCTCTTTCAGGAGGGGCCATCTCTCCTTTTAGTACATTTTATTAATTTTTCAGTCTATCTACATTCAATTTGTGCTCATCAAACATCATGTTACATGGGTTGCTTATAACTATTCAGTGATGATGAGCTATGAGACGTTATTTCTGCCATAAGAATCGTCTCATCCAGGGATAGTAAATGAAGGCAGTTAAAAAAAAAATCTCACCCAGTTTCCAACACGATGTTGATTAGGCTGATTTATCATTTCTTCATTCCCCGGCCCCCAGCTGCTGAAGACTTGCAAGCAAGCTAGTTCAGATGCTTGTTTCTGCCCACTGGTTGATTGGGTAGTTTTATTGTATTTTAATTGAATTTTAATTGTTGTAAGCCACCCAAAGACCTTTGGGTAGAGTGGGCGGCATATTAGATAGATAGATAGATAGATAGATAGATAGATAGATAGATAGATAGATAGATAGATAGATAGATAGATAGATAGATAGCCTCCTTGGAGTAAATATGAATAATGTTGGTAACTTAAATTTAGTCAGATGACAGTATTCATAGTCTCATCTCCATACAGCTGTTTTTATTAAAAGAGATCAAACAATGTGGACAAATTAAGAGTCTTCTGCAACATTTTCGAGTGATAAGACAACTTTATTATTTGGAATAATATTGTTTGTATATCTTTAACATGATGGTTTAATACCTAGGTGCATTTTCTGAACAAATATTGTTTATTTGACATCGAGGCAACTTCATTATATTTAGTGCTTCTAAAGGGCATATTTAATGGATATAAATACTGAATACCATCATACTTTTAACCTAATTTGATCTGAGTACTTGTAGATTTTGCTTTCAAAGTAGATATTTTCTAGATTATATTTGTTTCATATACAAGTCAAATAAATAAATAAATAAATAAATAAATAAATCTAAGAGAATAAGCTAGGAATACAAAAATGTGACTTCAGATTCAACACTATACATGTAATGTTGTAGATTAGACATCGCACTGATTAGTTTGCAAGCTATGGCTTTTGATATTCTAACCAAACAGCATAAATGTTTAAATTCCATCTCAAAAGTGAGATGCTGTTCTGTCCTGTGACCATTATCTCTTGCTCCTAGGGAATTCTGACCACATCTGCTTAAGTGATCTTGTTGAGTTTTCTTATGAACATGGAGTGTGATCCAAACAGCAATTTGTAATTTTACAGTTGTTTCCCTTAGCAAATATACACTCACTTAGCAAATATACACTCTGTAAGCTACATCATCAGATGTTGGCCAGCATAAAGTGTCTGGTTTAGCGACAGGAAAATATGCAGAGTTAATTGAAGACACAGACACGTTCTTCTTCTTCAGCAAGACACGTGTATTACACAAAATGTACAAATACAGACTGGCAGCACTTCAGCGTGGCAGGCAATCATCAGACAAACTGGCATAGGGGATAGCAGGAAGTGAATAGAGAGAGAAGAAAAAGTTATGTACACACTGTTCTCTTATATACATTTACAAAGCTTCTTCAGTCCAATCAGAGGACACATTACTTCATCTTCTGTACCTGGGTGTCTTCTCATTTTCAGACATTGCATCATCTCTTCATCAGTCACAGTAACTCAGCAGTGACACATCTGTTCATAATGGCAGTTCATTAATAACACATTTAATCCAGGTTCAGGCCTACAAAAATTACAATATCCTGACATAAAGTTTACTGCTGATAGTTGCAAGCTGAAGTGTAGGGATTGCTCTAGTCATTAGTTAATGTGCATACATAGGGAATATGACATTGGAATGCCATTGACATTCCTCAGAATTTAAATTACGGTAGTCTTTCCTATTATATGTGGCTTTGGGGTTGCCAGTCTCATGTAAAACTAGTAACTAATCTTTACTAGCTCATGGGATTTACAGACAAATTACATCTTTATGGACTTCTGTCTGAGTCAGCCTTATGACAGTACCAAATCAATGCTTGTACAACGTATTAAAGATATAGACCTCCAGTATTCACTAGCATGTGCAGACAGGACCTGTTCACCAATATAATTTGGTTTAAATTTTAGGTGTCCCAAGTCTGCAAATTGCTTATACCAAACTACAGTACCAAGGTATTGTTTTGCCTTCTCAGGGGCTAGGTTTAATTGCTTTCCCTCAGCCTTGTTAAAAGGGCACTTTAATAACATTCCCTATGGAGAAAGGATATACCCCTGTGAGGAAGAAACAGTTGAGTCCTTGAAACACACCATTCTAGAATGCAGCTTATATAGGTTCAAACGTATCTGCCATCTGTACCCAATAATGTATAAATGTACTAGTATATCTCCCACAGACTACCTGAAGTTTCTGCTGTCGGGAGAGAACCAATTAATAACACAGTTGGTGGCTAAATTTTTATTCTGTTTTAAGAATTTGTAAAATGTTATATTAAGACAACCACCTGACTCAGGTTTTATACTCTTGATATGTTATAACAACTTACTTATTCTGTATATCTTATATAATGTTTATATCTTTGCATTTTCGGGTCTATGACCATATAATAAAACTTAACTAGTAATTATATTTGCAGTATTTTTTCATAACTATTTTCTTATTTTTCAGTATTTCGATGAAGAATATACTTGCAGAAAAAATAAAATCAAGGAAAGATAAATCAGAAATCTTCATCTTAGAACTATTCTCTTGATAGGTAAGTGAATTCTCTTTTTTGTTTGACTTGGTAGTTAATTTTTTTATACAAATACGCCTTTTAGTTATTACTCATTACAGAGATGGTTAAAGAAGTAAAAATTTCTTGGATGCAATTATGTTTGAAGCAGTGGCCTCTTAAACACTGAAAGGTTAGTTCCACCAGTAATGGAACTTCTAAGTTTCATGGGCAGTGTTCCCTCTAAGCTGTGTGGTGCTGCATCGGTGTGTGCAGCAGAACAAGTGTATCCACCCATTTGCTTCCATTTACAGCTGTGACTCTGTGCACAAGGGGTGGAGCTTCCATGCAGACCTCTGGAGAATTAGAGGGAATGTGGTTCATGGGGCCTAGTTGTCTTATATCAACAGGTGTTTGGCATGCATCTCAGTCCCCACTCATCAGACCAACAAAGATGATATTTTGTTCTGCAGCAGCTTTTCAGATGACAGGCTATATATATTATCCAGACAAATATAAGAATCCTGGAGAAGGAGAAATCTAAGGCATTCTTCCTATTTTTTCTGCTGGCCCAATAATGTATTGTTTAAATCTCATATTACCTGAATAATGTTGTTTCCCAAAGACTGGATGAAAATGCCATTAGCAGAGTCAGAAGGTACATAAAGGCCAGCATTATTTCAGTTCTCTTAAGTGAAGAAATGCCCCAGAGACCTCTGCATAATTATATACTGTACATACTGTAGCATATTTTCCATACTGAGCAAAGGCTCCCATATTTGTACATATTTGTCATTTTCCTTCCACGTTCTTTTTTTTAACTTCCAACTAATAAGCCCTGAGCCCTCTGCAAGCGTTTGCCTAGTCATATAGGATTTGAATGGACTAGGATGAGTTTTTATCCCACTATTCTCTTAAGAGGAATTCTAAACAATATACAAAGGATTTTAAGAAACAACTAGTAATCGTGCAGCAGGACTGCTGCATCCCTGGGAGATTGGTTCCATGATCTACTGTGGATGCCTGAAACTGCAGATATGAGGGAACCCTGCATATAGCATACAAGGGGGAAAGCAGAAGCCACAAGAAGGCCACCTTGTGTGTTGTATGTAGTCTTGTATATAGATAAATGAAACAATACTAATCCTAAAGATACAGGGATATATGTTCTGCTCTATGTTACAATATTAAAATATTCTAATCTTTAAAAGTAGTAAATAAAATTCATTTTAAATAAATATAAGTACACATGATTTTTTTAAACTTAGTTAACCCTGTTCATAGTAGCAATTTAGTAACTAAGGGTTTTCATGATGTATAAACATCAATATTTAAAAGTTGCAGATTTGCTGTTTCTTAGCTGGATCATATTTCCAAATTACATATATAATCTGAGTGTTTTTCTGCTCCAGGAAAATTTGTGGGCAAAGGAAGTTCTTCATACGTAATGTAATTTTGAATGCTGTTGCTGGAAAGTGGGGTGTGTTTCTTCACGTCCACCTTATCAGCTTTATTAGTATTAGAAATGGGATGTTGGAGTAGAGGGATCTGCTAGCATTGATCCATCAAAGATAAATGTTCTTATATTTTATGGGCATACTTATCATGGCTAACAGAAATACTGATCTAATTATGCAAGCCTAATTTGTACATCTAACAAAAGTCTTGAAATAGTGGGTAACAGATATTTTATCTGTATGTGATGTACTCAACACAGCTTAGGCATTATATTTTTAAAAGGTGTTGTTCAGAATGTGAGTGTGAAATAGATGAAAATGAATTCATATAGTTATGTCAGTATGTTGTAGGTTTGAGTTTGGATATCTTCAGATACCTTTTCTTCCTGTTGTGTCTCTACATCACATTATCAGAGGCTATAGCAGATAGGATTTATTATTTTCCCAGAACTACTTTAGTTCATGGAAGTTTCAAAATCTCTAACAATCTTCAAATTGAGACAGTTTTATAGAGAAATACATGAAGATAATGTAATAGGCAAAATAAAAATAATAAGAGCTGACCATCTAGTTCCAAAAATCAAGGCTGGGTAGATAAAAAACAGTAGCTATGGTATCTGAGTAAGAACATCCTATTGTGACTATATGAGTTGGATAGTGAAAAATTGTTGAGAGTTAAGAAGCCCCAGGTTTGATGAGAGACAGCAAGATGTTGAAGTAGAGTTAGGGAGATACATGTTCAGTTTCCTGCTGAGCCACAAAGTTCACTAAGTTTGTCACTGTCAGCTGCTTCACAATGCTATGAAAATAAAAAAGATTGGGGGAATAGCAGGGATTATCTCAGATATCTATAGGCAATGAAGATTTGTTGCCCCTGAAAAAAGCTGAGAAAATAACTAACTTACAAAATATATTGGGATGTTTAATGAATAAAACACTTTTTTTATGTTCTGAGAGATAATCTCTTCTTGTGCATTTAGTATGTGCAAGAGTTGCTACGACCTGACTCCTGCACCATAGATCTCCCCTGCCCAGATCTTTCTCAGTTGCATTGAATCCTCCAGCAGCAAATCACTTCCTTGTTGGAGTACTAATGTAACAGGTAGTCTTGTTAGTCTGTTGCAACAATTTATTCCAGAAATAGCCATGTACAGTGGTGCCTTGCTTAACGACGTTAATTCATTCCAGCGAAATCGCTGAAGAACGAAAACGTAAAGCGAAAATAAAAAACACATTGAAACGCATTGAAAACCGCTCAGTGCGTTCCAATGGGCTAAAAGCTCACCGTCCAGCAAAGATCCTCCATATGGCGGCCATTTTCGGTGCCTGTATAGCAAGGACTCCGTCCCTAAGCACAGTGGGAAGCCATTTTAAGCACCTGGGGGCCATTTTGAAAACCCGACAATCAGCTGTTTTTGATTGTCATAAAGCGAAAATCGGTTCCCGAAACAGGGAACTGATCATCGCTAAATGAAATTCCCCCATTTAGACCATCGTTTTGCGATCGCAAAAGCAATCGCAAAAACATCGTGAAGCAGATTCATCGTAATGCAGGGTAATCGTTAAGCGGGTCATGACTGTATGAGCATTAATAGATGCTCGTAGTATCTATTAAGACTAACTGCTTTTTATTTGTCATAAGCTTATCTATTCATGAGGAAGAAACAGGAAGTGGCTGGGAGGGGCTAAGAATCATTGGAACTGCAAGGCATTAGAGGAATGGTAGTTTTTTGATAGATAAAAAATAAGAGAAAAAAATGAATGATATATTATTAATTTTTCCAGTTATGAAAACCCTGTGTGCCAATTAAACTTCTTTAGTATTCTCTTGGTAGTATATACACCACTGTCTGAGATATCTTCTTGAATGTTAAATTTGCATATATATATTTTCGTTTAATACAATGTTGTCTGTTTGAAGATAAGAAGCAAATTTCCAACCTTACTTCATTTTTACCTACTTCCATTTGCAGACTCTATTAAGATTACTTCACATATTAAAGGTCATGGTTAGAAACTCTTGAGAATTTGTGACATATGCTAAACATTTCACGAATGAAATGAACTTTTCCTACAATGATCTATGCATTAAATGAGATATTTATGTTCTATGAAAATAAAAGCATGTCCTCTTAAAAATCTTTTAGGATTTGCAAAGAAGCGTTGAACCAGACGGGATTGGATCTTCTACACGGAAACGTCACCGAAACAGTTACCAATGTATCACTGAAGTTAATTGAATTGTTTTAGAAAGTCGTCATGGGAGGAGCTGTGAGTGCAGGAGAAGACAATGATGATTTAATTGATAACTTAAAAGAAGCACAGTATATACGCACTGAGAGAGTGGAACAAGCCTTCAGAGCTATCGATCGTGGTGATTACTATTTGGAAGGCTATAGGGACAATGCATACAAAGACTTGGCTTGGAAGCATGGAAATATACATTTATCAGCACCTTGCATTTATTCTGAAGTCATGGAAGCATTGAAACTTCAACCAGGATTGTCTTTTCTTAATCTGGGTAGTGGAACCGGCTATTTAAGCACAATGGTGGGATTAATATTAGGTAATGATTGAATTTTGCAATGAATGAATCTATGATGGCAGACAAAATTTACTGGTAATCTGAATGTTACGAATATGTGCTTGTGAAGTTCTTGGTCATATCACTTTATGAGCAGACTTTCCAGAAAAATTGTTGTTAATGTGTTATATATTAGGACTCCTTAAATATTATGCATTTTTAAAAAAAAATAGATTACCAGATATAGGTCACTTCTAAGTTTTGCCTTGTGTTTGTTTTCATTACTTCACTAATTAGAGCTAAATGTGGTATTTGATGTATAATTGCCTAGGGCCTACGTGCACCTGATGTGAGAGATTTGTGACTAGATTTCTTGGTGCTTCTGGTTAAAAGCAGCTGTGAGTAGAATAAAACATTTTGGATAGCAGTACTTTGCTGAACTACAGTTAGTCTTTCTGTGCCATCTGTAACTTTGTGTTTTTCCCAGTGCATTTAATAACAATTTGAAAGGGAATTAAAGAGCAGGTGACACCTTTATTAGACCTCTAAAACAAACAAACAAAAAACAGCTAACTTTTGATATTAATCCTTTTTTAGTCTGTGCACCATGATTTTGTGGATTATGGAGATGTCTGTCTGTCTGTCTGTCTGTCTGTCTGTCTGTCTATCTATCTATCTATCTATCTATCTATCTATCTAATTCCCTAAAATTCATTGCAGATTGTGCGTTATCAGCTTCTTTAGGTTAATTAAAACCAGTCAGCAAATGCCATTGGGGGTGTGGTTTCAAACTCCACCCCAGGGAGCAGTTGACTAGATTTCTCCTCTTAACTCATCAAACAAAGACCCACCAAATAACCTACATTCCCCCTGCCCCCAGCATTGCATTATTTTGAAACACAAGGTTTCTAATTTAGTCTATTCACCTCGGAATATATATATTTTGTATATAGGACAGGGGAAAAAGAGGGATTCCTATATATCCCCTTTCCCCCCCGCTCTATCTACAAAATACTGGTGCACAGCCTGTAGAAGATGGCTTAATGTCAGAAGCTGTTTATTCAGTGTTTCTTGGGTCAAATAAAGGTATCACTTGATCCTGCATTTGTATTATGTAAGGACCAGTCAGTCTTTTTCAATATGAAAAGGAGAGGATATTGATGAGGACGCAGCACACCTCTGCTCTATGGTACCTCTGCCCTCTTCCAAAGTGGGAACTCCTGCAGCTGCCTTTAATCACATGTATCTATATGGAGATTCAGTCATAAATATTACATAGATTTGTCCCTTGTTCAAAAAACCCACCTTGATTCCTGAAAATTAAGAGAAAGGTGAAATACATTAAAATTGCAAGAAATATTTTATATAGTTATTAAATTATTTAACAGTATAATTTTAGGGGTCACCTAAAATCTGAAAGAAAATACACATTTTCTTGCTAGAATAAACAAAAGCAAGGCTGCTGATTTGCTGCTCCCTCTAGTGGGGTGTAAATTATTATCTTGTGTGGTATTTGACAGTTTCGGTGGGAGAAATTAACTGTTAGATAATAATAATATAATAATAATAAACCTTTATTGGCATACAGCAGAAGGAGCCGCAAAATAAATACAGTAAAATACGCATACAGGGTTCGTTGCATGCGAGTGGGGTGGAGAAAATAACAGCGCTTCGGCAGCACATATACTAACTGTTAGATGATTAATAGTATTGTTTATCTACAATTTGCTTACACGGTCCAGAGAAAGTGGTTTAATAGTCTTTGTACATGTAATAGTTCTCTCTGTTTCCGATTTTCAGGCTATGAGTGTGCATACATAGCCAAAATAGTACCAGCCATACAAAAGAGGGAATTATTAGAAGATTGAGAGGAATCAGAATCCTAACTCTAACTGGTGTAGACAAGACAGCAGAGACTGATAATGCTTTGTGTCTATGGAGTGCTGACCTGACCTACTGATGTTGGGTGGAGCAGAATTGAATAGAGGAATGAAATTGATTGGAATTTTGAACAGCAGCACTCCACGGTGCAGTTTTTTTATTGTAGGTTCCCATTATAAAGGTTCTGATAATTTTCCCAAGTATTTTCTGCACTTTAAATCCATCTACCATTTCCTTAATAGCAATGGAGAATTGTCTTTTTCATAGGTGGTTCAGTGTAGTAGATATAGACATCCTAAAGGCACTTCTAGAAGCAATTTCTTTACTAGCTCTCACTAATCACTTGTCACCAATAGAAAAAGTAGAATCTCAAGTGCCTGCTGATGTGAAGACGGCTTTAGATGGTTTTATTATTCAGTTTCTGCTATTCTGAAAGCCTGCATGCACTAGCAGTATTCAGTACATTTCTGATGTGGTCTGTAGATATTGGGTGCACTGATATGAAGCCATATGAGGAGAAAATTTTCATTCTAAGGCCTTCTAAAGAAAGTGCTCTGGGATAACTGTGGTGTTTGGAATATACCAATCAATTTAAGTATACCAAAGAGCCCGAAAAACCCACAACAGCCAATTTAAGTATTGATAACTTTCCAAAATAGTTTTTTTATATAAAACAAGAATCTAACCTGTGTTCCTGTTGCCTTGTTACTAGGTGTTTGTGAAGGAGTTTTGTCCTGTTTTGCTTTTGCTTTCATGGTGCGCATTGGAGAAGTTCATATAAACATTATTTCACCCTAACATTAAACTCCAGTTGAATAAAAGAAGCACAAAGCAGGCTGTATGCAGATACAGCTATAGAAGGAATAGTAATCTGTTGTACAATTGTAAAAATCACTGCTGGTTGCGGGAAGAGTAACAAAATGTGGAGAATAAGAAAACCATCCCATAATTGAATCTTCTTAAGTGGTGCCTCGCTTAACGGGCGCTCTGTTTAGCGACGACACTGCATAGCGATTAAGTTTTTGCGATCGCAAAAGTGATTGCATTGCAATGTTTTAAATGGGGTTTTTTTCACTTTGCAATGATTGGTTCCCTGTTTCGCTAACCGATCATCGCAAAGCAATGATTTTTAACAGCTGATCGGCGGTTCCGAAATGGCCGCCAGGTAGAAAATGCCCGCCCGCTGTGTGTAGGGACGGATTCCTTGCTTAAGAGGCAGCGAAAATGGCTGCCGTATGGAGGATCTTCGCTTTAAGCTGAGTTTTAAGCCCATAGGAACGCATTAAACAGGTTTTAATGCATTTCTATGGGCTTTTTAAAATCACATAGCGCCGAAATCGCTTAGCAGCGATTTTTGCTGCACGGATTAACGTCGCTATGTGAGGCACCACTGTATGTATGTATGTATGTATGTATGTATGTATGTATGTATGTATGTATGTATGTATGTATGTATGTATGTATGTATGTATTTCACATACTTCCTTCTTTCAACATCAGATAATATTTTGATATTCTTAATGAATACAATGTAATGAATGAATGCAATGAAAACCTGCTTTGTTCTGCACTTGCATTACAGCTAAGTTTGGATTAATAATATTAAAATCTGCACCAGTCTCATAATGTAGATTTCTTTCCTTGGATAGAGCCTTCCTTCCTGGGTAATAATGTCATAGGTAAGTTCCACTTTTAGGATGTCCTCCAGTAAATGAGAAAGGAACATTATTTACTGTGAGATTGTAATTTTTTGTAGTGCAAAGAAGACACCATGCTCACCCTTGCAAAATATGAAAGGGGAATATGGTAGCATCTTATTTAAGGGAGAAGTCCTGGATTGTTTTTTTTTCCTTCCTGCCTTCTTTCTGTGTTTCTAGCAAAGGAGACAGGACTGGTGAGTCAGTGTTGTCTCTGACACTAGAAAGAATTCTGAACCCATGTGATTAGTCCCTGCCTAACAAAGTGAGTTAGAGGAATAATCCTCTCTTTAGGATGTCCTCCTTCCAGTATTTAATGAATGTCTTACAGTAAGTACCACCATTCATAGCAGCATGAAACTTTCTGTACTCGCTTTCATGCAGATAGACACTTTTGTATTCTTTAGCTTGTCTCTTATTTGAAACCATGAGTCCTGACCAAAAAATGTTCACACAGGTCATCTGTCATCCTGAGCCTAACTCCTGATTTACCAAAAAACTTTCTTTAGTCCCAACTCACCCATGAGAAACACATGTACAGAGTGTTATCCATTTCTCTGCTTTCAAATACTTTCATAATGTTATTTAGCACACACATTCTATGTCCAGCTTTATATATAAGGTTTATATACTGCTGATTTTTAATTTACAGGGCCTTTTGGAATAAATCATGGAATTGAACTTCATCAAGATGTAGTAGAATATGCCAAGGAAAAACTGGAGAGCTTCATAAAATATAGTGATAGTTTTGATAAGTAAGTGTATTGATTCTTTTTTCTTCTCTTTTCCTTTTTGGTCATAAAATGTTTTTTTTAGAGATGGCAAAACCTGTATAAAGGTTTGACTGTTTTAAAAAGAAACAAAAAGCATCAGTGTCCATTACTGCAACCATAATAGTACTATTATTTTAAAATGTTTTCAAAGCATTAGAGAATAGATAACTTGATTTGCACTGTGTATGATTTGTTGGAATGACTAGAGGCAGATTCCTTATCAGTAACCTTGGTCAGGCTTTCAACATATTCTGTTAGTATCATAAATATATGTACTGCACGTTATCTTGATTACAGGTATCATTCAGTCCCCGCCCATATCCTTCCCCACCTAAGTCCTGCATGTTTTTGATGTAGATTTCCAAATGTTGTGGATGGGATAAATTATCTAGTCTCACTGTTAAGAGGAAATTATTAGATTTCTCTGCCACTGAATTTCAGATTGGGCTATATAAGTTATTTTTGTGATTAGACATGGAGTAAAAGTAAAAGCATATTAACAACTCTTTCATGGTTTCAGTAATTTTTTTATTTGAAAAAGTCTGCACTGTCATTCTGAAACATTCTCAGACAGGAGAAGATAGAAAAGCTTCAGAATGCTCTTTGGTTGAGATGTTAAGAGCTGTTCATTTGGAGCTGTTCATTTGAAAGCATCCCTGATTCCATCTAATTTTTATTTGAAAGCAATCACTAAAATTCTGTTATTCCAACTTTGATTCTTCTAAATACCAACATATGCCCTGTCTATGAGTTGAGATTATAAGTGCTTCATATATTATGTAACCATTAATTGGTGAGAGCGTGCCTGTTCCTTCACGCATGTGCACAAGTGTGGGGCATGGCCTGCCTTCCCCAAACGGTCCATGGGGTTAAAAATGTTGGGGCCGCTGTTAAAGAGTAACTGTTGGACTTGACGCTTTTGTGGAAACTGTCTACTTCATCATATCCATGAAGTGTTAGCTCATTTGTCAGATGGATACACCTGGTGACTGCTTTGTAATCTGTGAAGTAAGTGAAAATGGAAATATTATGACTAACTACATTTATTAATAATTATTTGAACAGTATGCATTAACAAAGGCTAGGTAGGTTAGTGAGTTGGATATCTGGCTGCAAAAAGCTTCCTTAATCAGTTACCGTATTTGCCAGCCTACAAGGCGAGTGGCTGTATAAGATGACCCCCCCCAACAGGAAGATCCTGGGTGGGCGGAGGCAGGAGGAGGAGGAGGAGGAAGAGGGGAAACGGAGGGTGGCAGGTGGGCGAGCACGCTGGCTCAGCAGCGGGAGGTCGAGGAAGAGGGCAAGAGGCTGAGGGGGCGGCAGGAGGAGGAGGAGGAAGAAGAGGGGAAATGGGGGTGGCGGGCGAGCGTGCGCGCCGCTGGCTCAGC